TGCAGTGGCATGATCTCGGCTCACTGCAACCTCCGCCTCCTGAGTCCAAGCGATTCTTCTGCCTTAGCCTCCCAAACAGCTGGGACTACAGGCGACGCCACCACGCCCAGCTAATTTTTGTATTTTCAGTAGAGACGGGGTTTCACCATATGGCCAGGCTGGTCTCGAACTCCTGACCTAGTGATCCGTCTGCCCTGGCCTCCCAAAGTGCTGGGATTACAGGCCTGAGCCATTGCGCCCAGCCTGGTGACCTTCTTTCTCTGGGACCCTACAGAACTCTGTGCATGATGATGTCATTTATTTAACAATTACAGCATTATAATTTTCTGTGGTTTGCTCGGCTTAATCATGAGTATCTCAAAGCAATGAGTATTTTGTTTATCTTTGTATTCCCAGTGCCCAAGTGCCTAGAGGAATGAATGCTAAACATACATACCTATTTCTAATGAGTAATCTGTCACATCACCTGTTCAGGGAGGCTTTTCAGATACATGCAAATCAGTTGCCCTCTCCCATGTATGCAAGTGTTTGAGGGGAGAGTAGGCAAGATATAATAGCTTATTAAAAGTATCAATTAAAAGTTGTAATGTGTTTTGTACTTTCTTTTTTTTTTTTTTTTTTGAGACAGAGTTTCACTCTTGTTGCCCAGGCTGGAGTGCAATGGCATGATCTCGGCTCACCGCAACCTCAGCCTCCTGAGTAGCTGGGTTAACAGGCATGCGCCACTAGGCCCGGTTAATGTTTTGTATTTTTTAGTGGAGACAGGGTTTCTCCATATTGGTCAGGCTGTTCTTGAACTCCGACCTCAGGTGATCCACCCCGCCTCGGCCTCCCAAAGTGCTGGGATTACAGGCGTGAGCCACCACACCCAGACGTGTTTGGTACTTTCATCTAATCTTCAAGACCTAATGATACAGGTATTATTCCCATTTTAAAAACAAAGACCAGGCCCGGGCGGTGGCTCATGCCTGTAATTTTCACACTTTGGGAGGCTGGGGTGGGCGGACCATCTGAGGTCAGGAGTTCGAGACCAGCTTGGCCAACATGGTGAAGCCCCGCCTCTACTAAAAATATAGAAATTAGCTGGGTGTGGTAGCACACACCTGTCTGTAGTCCTAGCTACTCGGGAGGCTGGGGTAGAAGAATCTCTTCAACCTGGAAGGCAGAGATTGCAGTAAGCCGAAATCGTGTCATTGCATTCCAGCCTGGGCAACAGAGCAAGACTGTCTCAAAAAAAAATTAAAATAAAAAATAAAGACCAAATGTCCAAAACATAAATATTTAATATGAATACAGCATAGCCAGCCAGTTCTCTGACATGTAACCTGGGAGTCTTTCCACTCTCATCTCTCTACTCATCCTAGAATATTTCAAAAAATAAAATTTTTTTTTAAAAAGGAGTGTATATTCAGGGCAACTGGAATATATACTCCTGCTAAGCGTTTTTTAAACAGAGTATTTCGAGTCCATCTCTATTATACTGTTTATCATGCTGTAGTATAAACATCTATTTATATGTCTGACTCCACAGCAGTATCATAACATCTATTTCTGAATGCTTAGCACATAAAATGAGCTCAATAAACGGTAAACGAACTCATCAGATCCACGTCCAAGTGCTTGTAACTCTTCTAGTCATCAGCCTTGTGACGTTAATAATGTCACATAATTTCAATGAGACTCAGATCAAAAGCTGCACCTCACTAGTATTCAGGAAGATGGAAGGCTGATTTTCTGCGGGGAAGTGCGCGGAAAACTCTTAACTCCCCTACTCACCCACCTGTGCCCGGAGGCGTGACATAAGTCCGCCGCGGGTTCGCCAGCACCTTGCCATCCCGCACCACACCCACGCCAATCTTATTGGCGCTGCCTTCAAAACCCAGCACCGCCGGCATGGCGGAGCCTGGGAGAAAACGCCAAGAGGACTCCTAGCAACGTCAGGAGCTGTGGAGGTCCTCCCTAGTCTGCGCTCGGCCGCAGCTTTCCGGAGCGCAGAGGAAGCGGGCTAGCCTGCAGATAACAGTGGGAAAGACAGCGCAGAACTCCCGCGAGCGGAGACCAGCCAAGGCCCCTCGAGGGACCTGTCTTCCTAACTGCCAGGGACGCCGAGCCGACTCTGTGCCTTACAATCCTATCTGTTTTCCTAGCTCTTTCCCGTGGTCCAGCCCAGCCTTCTCCACTTTTTTTTCCCTCTTGCACAGCGTTAGAATCTTAAGTCAGAGTCACACAATGTGCCGTGCGTCTGGCACAACGATAAACAGCCCGAAGGTGGGTTGGGGCCCTAAGTCTCCTAGAGAATTAGATGAGGGAGGCAAGGCCAAGCGACTTCGTCACGTGGTGTCAGACAGACCAATCACGCGCATTCTTCAGCCATGTGAGGCGTGCCTCTGATCACGTGACCAGGTCCGCTACCCACGTGGGGGCTCAGCGTGCATCCTTCTTTGTGCTCGGGTTAGGAGGAGCTAGGCTGCCATCGGACCGGTGCAGATACAGGGTTGCTCTTTTGCTCATAAGAGGGGCTTCGCTGGCAGTCTGAACGGCAAGCTTGAGTCAGGACCCTTAATTAAGATCCTCAATTGGCTGGAGGGCAGATCTCGCGAGTAGGGTACAAGGCACTATGAAATGATCTAGTTAACGTGGGTGAGGGGCTGAAGGGCCTGTGATGCACGGAGGCGGGGAAAGGATTTAGAGATAACATGGTTTGAAAGGCGGGACCTGGTGCGGGGATCCTCTTGAGAGGAGTCTTCACCCCAGGCTTAGCTGGTTTCATGATTTCTTTGCGTCTGTAGGCAACGCGGTAAAAATACTGCTTTGGTGGGCGACGCGGTACAGGTGCCGAAGAGCGTTCGTTACGGGAATGCCGAAGCGTGGGAAAAAGGGAGCGGTGGCAGAAGACGGGGATGAGCTCAAGACAGGTAAGAGAATAAAATGAGCCCCTCTTCCTAGAAGCTACGGCGGGGGTGTTTGTAATTCCCTTGATGAACGGTAAGTACGGGCCGACTCATTTTTGCAGGGGTTTGTGAAGACGCAGTAACCCCAGGCTTTCGTTGGGTCCATAGTTAACGCCGGATCGCGGTTGGAAACCACCCACTTTTTGTCAGTATATATTACTCATTTCATAGAGCCAGAGCCCAAGAAGAGTAAGACGGCCGCAAAGAAAAATGACAAGGAGGCAGCAGGAGAGGGCCCAGCCCTGTATGAGGACCCCCCCGATCAGAAAACCTCACCCAGTGGCAAACCTGCCACACTCAAGATCTGCTCTTGGAACGTGGATGGGCTTCGAGCCTGGATTAAGAAGAAAGGATTAGATGTGAGTGGTATTTGAGGGGAAGAGACATTCTTTAGTATTGAATGATCTTAGGGTTTAGTCACCCCTTTTCTCCGTATAGCCTTCAGGCTGTTTTTTCTCCTGCCTGCAGTTTTCTGTGGGGCTTCCCCAGTCTTGCCAGTTATATTTCCTAAATGTCTGTTCCTTCACTTCCATTGCCATTTTCTTTTTTAATGTTCTCTCCTCTTCCCAGAATGTTGCAGAAACCTCTTTACTATATTTCCTCCATTTTATCTTCAGCATGTCCTCCATTTCATTAACTATAGCTTAAAAATCTTAGCTTGCCTATAGAAAAAACACATTCATAGTATAGCATGTAAGACTTTCTTACCTCTCTGTTTTCATTTATCTAGCTTTGAATTGTTTATTGTTTAACCTCGAACGGCTTGACTGTTTAACCTGTGCATATTTATGACTTAGCATATATTCAGTAAATGTTCTGCTGAATTGATAAGACATTTTCCACCTTTCTTTTCACTTATAGTGGGTAAAGGAAGAAGCCCCAGATATACTGTGCCTTCAAGAGACCAAATGTTCAGAGAACAAACTACCAGCTGAACTTCAAGAGCTGCCTGGACTCTCTCATCAATACTGGTCCGCTCCTTCAGACAAGGAAGGATACAGTGGCGTGGGCCTACTTTCCCGCCATTGCCCACTCAAAGTTTCTTATGGCATAGGTGAGACCCTATTGATGCCTAATGCCTCAACTCTTCAAGACCAATTGCTAATTCTCCATCTCTGCCCCACCTCTTGATTGCTTTCCCTTTTCTTACAGTTTTTTATGCTAATTCTGTTTCATTTCTGTAGGCGAGGAGGAGCATGATCAGGAAGGCCGGGTGATTGTGGCTGAATTTGACTCGTTTGTGCTGGTAACAACGTATGTACCTAATGCAGGCCGGGGTCTGGTACGACTGGAGTACCGGCAGCGCTGGGATGAAGCCTTTCGCAAGTTCCTGAAGGGCCTGGCTTCCCGAAAGCCCCTTGTGCTGTGTGGAGACCTCAATGTGGCACATGAAGAAATTGACCTTCGCAACCCCAAGGGAAACAAAAAGAATGCTGGCTTCACGCCACAAGAGCGCCAAGGCTTTGGGGAATTACTGCAGGCTGTGCCACTGGCTGACAGCTTTAGGCACCTCTACCCCAACACACCCTATGCCTACACCTTTTGGACTTACATGATGAATGCTCGATCCAAGAATGTTGGTTGGCGCCTTGATTACTTTTTGTTGTCCCACTCTCTGTTACCTGCATTGTGTGATAGCAAGATCCGTTCCAAGGCCCTCGGCAGTGATCACTGTCCTATCACCCTATACCTAGCACTGTGACACCACCCCTAAATCACTTTGAGCCTGAGAAATAAGCCCCCTCAACTACCATTCCTTTAAACACTCTTCAGAGAAATCTGCATTGTATTTCTCATCTATAAAAATAAGAATCCTCCAACCAGGCTCCTGTGACAGACTTAGAGTTCTTTTAAGCCCAAGAATTTTTATTTGAGGGTTTTTTTCTTTTTTAAGAAAAATTGAACAAAGACTACTAATGACTTTGAATTATCCACATGAAAATAAAGAGCCATAGTTTCAGCCTTGCTGTCTTTGTGTCTTACCCCTTTGTGGGGCTACATATTCCCTTCCTCATATTTTCGTGCATACAAGTTAACAACTGAAAAAGGGTAGAGTCATGACCTTATTTATTTACAAGCACAGGATAAGTCCCTAACCTCCCCCAAAGACTGAGCAACTCTACCCAGCCCAGTTAAATACTGCAACTGGTTGGGGGGAGGGGGGTAAAAAAGGTCGGAAGGAGGAATTAAGGGAAATATAGGAATAGGGGAACATATCCCACATTAAATAGTTATATACACATCAGTTCCTGTGGTTCTGTACAGAGCAGCGGCTGACCCCACCCCCACAGGAAACAATGTGGGGAGAGGAGACTGAGGGTACTGAGGCCAGAGCCAACCTCTGGTGAAGTGCAATAGCAGCAGCAAAGTCCTAATGGTGCACAAGAGGGAGGGGAACCCCCAGGGCTACCCACCCCCACCCTGCCCTGGAATGTGTAAGGGACAGGAATGGCTCTCAGGGAGCACACAGGAAGGACAAGGCTGGAACCGTCTTTAGGACCCAGTTTTAAGGGCAACGTTTTGCCTACTTCACCCTAGACACAGCAACCCTTGGAGGAAAGCAGATGGTCAGCAGTGCTCTTATCTGCCCCTCCAAACCTAAGTGAGGGCCTGGTTCCTTCCTACCTCTCCCCAGGGAAAAGGAAGGCAGCTGCTTGGCTTCCTTATAGAAGCCCTGGGAGCCTTTAACTACCCCAGCTCCCTTCGTAGTGTCACTGTCCCCACCAGGGAGGGGCCAGGCACAGTCTGTGGGTCATCAGGCTCAGGAGAAGTTCTGGACAGGGTGGCTGACCTTCATACAGGCCCAATAAAGGGCCCGGCCCAAACACAGCACAGCCAACAGGATGACAAATGCCCAGGCTGCATAGATGCCTCCATATCGCCGTGCATGCTTCCATGTGCCAAACTGATTAAGGAGGGAGAAAAAAAGAAAGATGGGGTTAATGTTGGTCTCCACTACCTCCTATGAGTCCTAAGAAGAGTAATAACTCATGCTTCAGTCCTTGTTCCTTATCCACATGTAGCCACCCTCAGGGACCTTCTTAAAGGCAGAGCTGTTCAGCTCCCTTCCCTTAGGCAGTAACATACTCATCCCATCCCACACTGTATCTCAGTTTTTCTTAATATCTGACAACTGAGCCAGGTTTGCAAATAGCAACTCTTAAATTAAGCACTGCACTGTCCTATCCTCATCCTACAGAGAAAGGATGGCTGTTTTGCACTCTTAGTAGTAAAAAAGTCTGTTTGATCAGCCACCTTACACTTTAGCTCATCCATATCTTAAACTACTCCCTCAAGTTTCCTCCACTTTTTTTTAGGGTAGCAATTTCCCAGATCTTAGCCTATAGAGATGAGGCTGCAGAATGAAAGAGACTGGGGCAAGGGTACTCACAGCAAGGCCAGTGGCAGTGACTGCCAAAAGCAAGCCAAGCAAGAAGCAGCAGATACATCTCTTACGTGGGTATCTGCGCCCAATAGATGACCTGTGGGGAGGCAAATAGAAATGGATGCTTTCTATAGCCATAGTTTTTACTCCATACATCAATGACCAGCTCAATCCCTAATCACTTACACTTTCCTGCAGTGAGGACAACGTGCCAAGGTGCGGTCTGTGAACTCTGTCCACTATGGAGAAAGAAAACGAAAATAATAGCACAAACAGGGTCCCCCTCAATGAGAACCTTGGGGTGGGGATGCAGAACATGTTCCCATAGGACAGACTTTCAGGGGTCATTACCATTACTCCAAGAAATATACTCGAAATGACTCCTAGTCTCCTTTCCCCTCCCCTTCCCAATACCTCTTCCTCACCAGAAAGGTATTCTTGCAATGTCCACAGATAACCCTGACACCCATGGGTTGTGGTTCTGGACTCAGAGGTCCGGGATGCACAGGACCCAGGTTGATGATTCTTTTGCTATACAAAAGAAAAAGACTGTGTTTGAAAAGTTTTTAATCCTAAAAATCTTCACACAGTCCCTGTTTCACATCCTCCACTCCCTGCCTATCAAGTCACTCGACTTTGTACACTTAAGATACTCTGTCCCCCAACTGTATACCCTCAAGAATCCTTGAGAAAGAAAGTGCACTGCTTAAACTTCAGGTCCCCAATTCCCCTCCGACCTCAGGATAACACACCCAGTCCCCAAGGCTCTCTATTCTCCTAAACGACATCATTTCATCCCAATATTTTTATTGAGAAATGAGAAAGACTGCTGTAACATTCCTGAGGCATATGCTTCAAAGCCTTTTCTCCTTCTAAATAAACACTAGGCTCTCTCACCTTTACATTCTCTATATACGCTCATCCTTTTTTGACTTTCCAGTTCCTCACTTATGCCCTTCCCCACATTATGCCTCTTACCAGTAGGGCCGAGGGCATGCAATCCGTTGGGATGTCACTTTGCAGATAAGGAGACAGTTACAGGGGCATCGAACATATTTTTTCCCTGGGGGTGCATTCTTGATTGGCTAGAGAATAACAGGGTCATCAGCAAGCAAACCTCTAATCCCAATCCCCTCCACTTCCCTCCAAAAACACTTTATGAGATCAGAAAAATAAGGTGCTAGCCAGGAAGGAGAAATAAAACAGACTACAACATGAGATTTGCAAATAGGAACTAGGCTAGGTGTGAAGTGAGAGAAAGTAAACGTTAGCTTTGGTGAGTGGCTTTTGGGGAAATGGCTGCGTGAGACACCTGGAACTGAAACCTGGGTATCATCAAGAGCACTTGGCTAACAGCCGGAAGGTCAGGGTCTAGAACCAAGACATCAGAAAGAGGATCCAGGAAACAGGGCCCATTTCATATATATGTATAACTCACAGTGGCTTCATTGCAGACACCACACTTGACTACGTGCTGATGCATCTTGCCTTCCACGTTGATGAGAGACTGGCAGACTCGGCAGGTGATCATAGGGGCACTCCCACTGTCTGGGCTAGTTAAGGGTGAATAGGGGGGTGGGTCCTCTCCAGGCAACACGGCTGGATGTCCCTCGGGGAACGGGGGAAATGCTGGAGAGGAAGAAAATAGAAGGGCTGGGATCACTTACAGACATCCTCCACTGATGCTCCACGGTGGTAGGGAAGTCTTTCTGATTTTCAACCCTCTGCCCAAGCTCGGAGGGCTTCTCATAATTGGTGCTTCCATCAGGTTGCTCAGAACCCCCTTCCGTCCCACGCTGTGGTCGCGATTGCGGAGGGAAGGAAGCCTCGCCCAGTCACAGGTGCAGCAGTCCCGCACCTGGCGACTGGGACCCGCCTCCGCCCTCGGTCCCGCCCCCTCCCCGGCTTTCAGAGTACCCCGGGGAGCACCTCGGACCCGCCCCGGCTTACCCTGGGGCGGGGCATGTTTACCGGCTCCGTACGGTGGTGCGGAGGGGGTCAGGCCTCCCCCGGGCCCAGCCCCACTCCCGCCTGGCCCCACTAAACCGTTGCCGCCCGCGCCACCGTCGATGGGCTCGGACAGCAGCGGGGAACGCTCTCCATCTGCCGCCATGGCCGCCACCGCCGCCTCCCCCTCAGGTCGGCGATCCGGCTCCCTTCGCCTCTGCCGTCGCCGCAGCCACCGCCACCGCCACCGCCACCGCCGCTACCGGGTCCCCAGGGCGCCTGCGCGCCGCGCGCCCAGCTCACTCCGCAACCAGTGGCCTGCCCCGCCCCGTTCCGTCTAGCAGCACTTGATAGGCTCTCCCCGCCCCGGTCATGCTGTTATTCTCGTAGATAAACCAATTCCTAGTCCTGTGAAGGCAGCTCTCCTTTTCCATTGGGGAACGTCGCACAAACGTCAACTGTCACATGACCTGCCAGATGCTGCTGGGCTTGCAAAACCTGCACGTGACTAGAGGTTCTGCAAGCTATTGGGAGCGACGCCCATCGCGCTACCTCCAGACCAGGAGGTGGGGCTAGGCTGCTTCTGCTCAACTGGTCTTCTGGAAGCTGCACGGGCTCTGTTGCTCTGCCCCTCATTGGTTCAAAGACAACACTGAAACACTTTTCTCCGGCTTTGCGTTATAACTGGTTTTCTATTGGCTGGTGACTTTCCTTCCCTAGTCCTGTGATACTAGCGGCGCAACTGCATTGGCCCGAACTTAGCGCCAGAACATGGGGGGCGTGGCTTATGCATTTTAAAGGTGGCTGGGCGGGTGCAATCAAGAAGTGCGGAAGCTTGGGATCTTCAGAGTGGGGAGAAGATGGACGGTGGGGAACAGTAGACAAAGTTAGCCATTCTACTCGAAGAAGTACCTTTAAAAAGTCAGGGTAATGATGTACCAGGAGGAAATGGATTAAAAAGTTAAGATTATCTCTCCAGCCTTTGTCGCTGGAGTTACTTTAGGGACGGGACACAAGACTCGGTTCTCCTGGAAGCTGCCCTTACAGAGCCCGTCTTTCCCCACTGCTGATCAAATTGTTAAATTATCTTTTCATGAGTGTCTCCAATACTAGAAGATTTCGTCGTTTTGCTAAAAAAAAAAAAAAAAAAATCCAATAAAGATGGGGTCTTGCCTGTGCTGGAGTCAAACTCCTGGGTTTGATCTCCCGCCTAAGCCTTCCTAATAGCTGGGAAGGACTACAGGCGCAAGCCACCGTACCTTTACTCAATTTTATGACCACCAATCTTTAACATTTGTTATTAGCAGTTTGTTGATTGGATTAATCAAATCCAAGGTTATTTTTGTCACCTTATTTGACAGATGGGACAGTCTTTAGACCTGTCTCAACTTTGCTTCCAGCAAAGGGGCAGTGCCTCCCTCCCCTACCTGAAGTCTCCTGTGGTCTTTATGGGCACCTGAACCGCACTTGGATTTTTTCCCGAGTCATAGCCCAAATTGGGACTGCTTTAACTATGGGAAGCAACAAGGAATCGATAAAAACAATAAACCCCGAGGAGGTCCATTATCAGCTTGGCTAGCAGATTCTCCACTGAGAAGGAACCTGCATGGAAGAAAGTACAGCCAGCCCCAAATATTTAATAACAAAGGAACTGCTGATGTCCCAGCACTTGGCTGTTACAGGGGCTGGAGACTTCATCTAGTTCCTGATTTTTTTAGACAGGGTTTTCTCAGGCCAACTTCTACTTAGAAGCTAGTAACCTTCGACCAGTTAGATAAGAGCCCGTAACAGACACTTAAAGAACTAAGGAAGCTCCAGATACAAAATAGGGAAGAGGTTGTAGCTCCATAGAGGGAGGCTAGTCTGCTGCTCTTTCTGCTGTTTGTGGCACACGGACACTCAAGCATTGTCTGAGGTTGGAGTAGGTTTCATTATTTGTGCCGTAGTTACACATATATTCCAAAAACTGTCCTAAAAATAGTTTTTAAATATCTACACTTTGTGAAAGACACTCCTTAAAAAGGAGTGTGAAAGACATTCTGGGCAGGGAGACAGAGTACTGTAAACATTGACAGTATAAAATATCAGGCCAGGAGTGGTGGCTCATGCCTGTAATCTCAATGTTTTGGGAGGCTAAGGTGGAGGATTGCTTGAGCCCAGGAGTTCAAGGTTACAATGAGCCATGATCTCAACCTGGCCAACAGAGCAAGATCCTGTCTCAAAAAAAAAAAAAAAAAAAATCATATATATGGAAAAATATCAATACTAGAAATTCATGATACAGCACATGCTTCATAATAAAAGAATTAAACAACGTAATACAAGTTCAAGAAAAGAAGAGATCACGTCTAACTAGAGCAGCCAGAGAAAACTTCTAAAACATAAAGAAAAATGAATATTGTGCATGGATAACTAGGACCTGAGCTCTGTCTTGAGTAGGTCAATAGGCAGAAAAATGCAAAAAATAATAATATTTGTAACTTGATCACAATTAATAAAGCATCTTCTTTTCTTTCTTTCTTTTTGTTTTGAAACAGAGTCTCATTCTGTCGCCAGGCTGGAGTGCAGTGGATGACCTCAGCTCACTGCAACCTCCACCTCCCGGGATCAAGCGATTCTCCTGCCTCAGCCTCCCAAGTAGCTGGGATTACAGGCGCCTGCCACCACACCCAGCTAATTTTTGTATTTTTAGTAGAAATGGGGTTTCATTATGTTGGCCAGGATGGTCTCGATCTCTTGACTTCTTGAATCACCGATCTCGGCCTCCCAAAGTGCTGTGATTACAGGCGTGAGCCACTGTGCTCGGCCAATAAAGCACTTTCATAGTTGTATTCATTTTATTTCAGAATCCACTGTGAAATGGACAGGGAAGCCAAGACTATATCTTTATTTTACAGATGTGGAAACTGAAACTGTGTAAAATGGAGTCATTTAAGCTAAGTGACAGACTGAAATGGAGCTCTAAATCCCGGTCTTCTGACTTATGATCTAATGTTTTACATTCAAATAATTTGATAGGTAGACTGAAAGGGGCAGAAGCACAGAGGTGGCAGAGAGAAGGTGCTTGGGATGGGCCCCCTTTTATGCTAAATGCCTGGAACATAGAAGCTGCTTGATAAATGGCTCTCAAATTAATTAACAAAGAAACTTAAGCCCCATCTTGGGATAAATTTGCTGGGTACTGAACAATATTGTTAGCTGCAGTTGCAAGCAGGGCAGATATTCAGCTGGGACACTACAGGGTGGCTGGCATTGGTTGTTTATGGTGGCATTGGTTCTGATTGGTTGGTACCTGTATTATACAGATAAATCATTTTAATATTATCTTGGGTAAATATTGGGCATCTCAGGTACTGCCTGATTTTTACTTATGGGGTGGGATCTTCCCACTTAGATTGAGAACAATTAGGCTATTGAGGTGTACTGATTTGTTAGGACTGACATAGCAAAACACTACAGATAACATAAACGACAAACATTTATTTTCTCACAGCTCTGGAGTCTGGAAGCCCAAGATCAAGATATTGGCAGGTTGACTTTCTCTGGAGGCTTCTCTCCTTAGCTTACAGATGGCCACCTTCTCCCTATAGCACAAATGGACTTTTCTCTGCACACATTTTTGCTTTCTCTTCCTCTTTCTCTTCTTTTTCCATACTTTTAGGGTCTCACTCTGTCTCCCAGGCAGGAGTGCAGTGGTGCAGTCATAGTTTATGGTGGCCTTGAACTCCTGAGTGCAAGCAATCCTGCCACCTCAGCCTCCCAAGTAGCTGGGACGACAGGTGCATGCCACCATGCCTGGCTAATATTTTTATTTTTTGTAGAGACAGGGTCTCACTATGTTGCCCAGGCTGGTCATTGGTCTCTAACTCCTGGGCTCAAGTGATCCTCTTGCCTTGGTGTCCAAATTCTGGGATTACAGACCCTGCCTGGCCTCTCTTCTTCTTATGAGAACAACAGTCTTGTTGGATTATGGCCCCACCATTATGACCTCATTTAACCTTAATTACCTCTTAGAGGATCTTATCTCCAAATATAGTCACAATGGGGGTTAGAGAGTCAACATAAGAATTTGGGGGAACACACTTCAGTGTGTTATATAATAGAATATAAAGAAACTGTGAAGATTTCAAAGCATTTTTTTCTTTAGATTTCCAACAAAGTGATAACCACTACAGTGTGTATATGGCCAGAGGATGGGGTGGAAAACATCTGCTTGGCTTCTATGACCCAAAGTGTCCCAATTTGATTTCTTTTTTTTTTTTTTCACATATTCCACATGCCCTATTTATTTTTTCCTCTTTCCTGAAGTGGTAGTTTATCACCTGTGTGAAAACAACACAATCCCTTCATGCATTTCAAAGGCACAGAAAGTTTCTGGTAATGTGCAGAGTGAGTTAACTAAGACCAGGGTTAGTTTGCCAGGGGTTGGATGAGATTGGGGTAGGGTATGGCCTGGTTTTAAATGATTAATTTATGTTAATTACATTGGGACTTTGCTCCTTTGTGCTCCTTGCTCTTCCTAGGCCTCAGTTCTTTACTCTTTCCTTTAGGGAATTCTTGGCTTCCCTTTCTACGAGCTAAGGTCTTTGGAATAGAGGGTGGTAGGCCAGTCCTTTATCTCTACTCTGTTCTTCCTACCACTGAGTGAGGCACAGATGGAAGTCTCACTCTTAGAAAAGGGAAATAAAAGTGATCTCTATAACAGAAATAAAAGGGCTGGATGTGGCGGTTCATACCCAGAATCCCAGTACTTTGGGAGGCTGAGGTGGGAGGATCACCTGAGCCCAGGAATTTGAGACCAGCCTGGGCAACATGAAGAGGCCCCATCTCTAAAAAAATAAAAATAACAAATAGGCGAATGTGGTGGTGCATGCCTGTAGTCCTAGCTACTTGGGAGGCTGAGGAAAGAGGATTGCTTGAGCCTAGGAGATTGAGGCTGCAGTGAGCTGAGGTTGAGCCACTATATTCCAACCTGGGTGGCAGAGCGAGACCCTATCTTTAAAAAAAAAAAAAAAAAAAACAGGGAAAAACCCTAAAATATTTTAATTTCAGTAATTGGAGAAAATGGAAGATCAAAGATTATGGTGGTAAGGAGAGTAGATGTTTTATCTTATTTTTTGAGATAGGGTCTCACTCTGTCAGACTGGAGTGCAGTGGCACCGTCACGGCTCACTGCAGCCTTGACTTCCTGGGCTCAGGTGATTCTCTTGCCTCAGCCTCCCTAGTAGCTGGGACCACAGATGCCACCACACCTGGCTAATTTTTGTATTTTTTGTAGAGGTGGGGCTTCACCATGTGCTCAGGCTGGTCTCAAATTTCTGGGCGCAACTAATCCTCCTGTCTTGGCCTCCCAAAGTGCTGAGATTACAGGTCTGAGGCACTGTGCCTGGCCAGGGGTAGATATTTTTAAAAGAGCATATTTAGCTTGTGATCTAGAGATAATAA